GTATTTGCTCAGGTTTCATTCACATCACTTAACCGCGGCTCCAAACTATGAGGAAGCGGGTTCGAATCCGGGTGGATATGAAGACTCGCCATGCAGTTTTTTATTGTCTCACCACTACTCCTAGATGACGTTGATTGTTGCTAGAATTTTTGACGCGCGTAACTCTGTCACCAGTGCTTTCTAGATGGGCAATAAAAATATATCTTTCTGTGATATTTCTATCAATAGCGCCAACTCTTGCTTTAAAAATATGTGGAAACAATTTATGAGACGGATTTTTCTTTTTCACTTTCAGACAATGAAATATCTATTACACTATCATTGCATTGGAGAGTTTCTTTTCATTTTTATGTCTGTATTTCGCCACACACATGCACATCAATGAATGCGGATGGAATCTGGGCAGTTTGTTATTAATTTTTTTCTTTTCAGATGGAAAATGTGTGACCCATTGTGCAATTTGGAGGAATTTAGTGCCGTGGACTCTGTAACCGACCGGTCATGGTCGTGAACTCGTGGATGCTCTGAGACCCTCCGTGTAGAGTATCCCCACGTTGGCAGGGCAATTTAGAAAATGGATGCAAGCTCAGGTCCCCTCCACGTCACTTGACCAAGGTTCATCATGGCGTGGTCCATCGCCAATAGCCCTCGAGTAGCTGACTAGTGTGACGTTAATATTCACTCACTGAAGTGGGTCTCGTAGAGCTTCACAGAACAAGATGTATACAGTATCAAAAAAATTCGGGGTACTTCGAATTTCGGGTGTTATTCTCTTTATTGTTGAAGATCGAAGGAACAAATTTCATATCAGATAGGCCAATATTTGTGTGTGCGTGACTTTGTTTTCAATAAATATATTAAATATTTAAAATATAGTAACACAATGTTTTTTTTTATAATTAATATTTGCGTTTCAACGGAAGATCTCTCTCTAAAGAAAGAAAGCTTCTCTGATCCAAAAAAGGATTTTAAACCCAGGTGGGAGCCTCCAGAACGAAGCGATATTTTACGCTAATCTTAATGTATCGTCCGAAATAAACGGCTTTTCGAAATTAAAGCCAATTTCTCAAGTTGCGTGCGCAGAGGCCACCCAGGGAGGGAACTCTGCCATTTCGCAGCCCACAGGATGAGCCGCCGATTTACGACTGCACTAATACTTTTAAATGGTCTCCGACACGCGCGCGTTCCTGAACATGCCACCTTGATTTAGGAAGGGTCAATGGTAATGTCTAGAACTACCTACCGTCCCTCAAAAAGAATCATAATCATCAACAGTCTCTGATATCTCTGCCGGTTGGGTGGCAGAGATATCTTGGCTCTGGCCTTGTACGCCTATTGGCGGATTCGAACCCAGCCAAAGTCGGTGGATTTTCATAACAACATAAAATAGACAACTTTCATGTCGTAGGATTATGCGGCAGATGAAAGATCCCTAGAGTGTCTGTTTGGCTTGGATGCTCTTGGCAAAATTAAATTCCTAGTACAGTTTCGCATCGTATCAAAGCTCAGGTGCCTCACTCTGGGGAGGGAATCGAG